ATCGGCGGACCCCGTTGACTGCCTCGCGGGCCGAGGCAAGTGGCAAGATTTGAGTCTTTATTTTATTCCTTCCCTCATAACCTTCTCACCTGTTTTGTGCATGACATCCTGACTCTGCCCACTTTACTCCTCCTTTCCTTACCGCCACTAGATGGTAAGTTTCCTGAATCTCCCCAAGTGGCCCCACCCCATGCCTTGTACATAAGTGCTTAGTGATGCTTCTTGAATTATAAAGCTTGCTCTAATAAAAACAAAACCATAAAATATTATCAAAAGAGCAAAAGAAATAATATTGTCTTTAACTATATCCCTATCAGAAATTAAGGTGTTTTGTACTTAACTTCCTACAATGTCATATGCACAGTGAGCTCACTAAGTGTTGAATTTCTACTGGTCAGATGATGAGTGTGTAGGGGCATTAAAACAAATAGAAAAGAGAGAGAGAAGAACTTTGAACACCTTGATTTAAAAATTATCCCTAAGAAAATAAAAAAAAAATAAAATGTATTTTTACTTCGCCACACGCAGCTGCTGAGAAAAACCATTTTCTTTCTCCTGCTCTGCTGGTCACCTCACTTCCTTCATGATAATCTGAAACTTGTAGCTATTCAATTCACCTGGCTCACTTGCCAGTAGGCAAGGTGTGAGGGGTTCCACAGAGAGGCTCTTGATGACAATATTCACTCCCTAATAAAAAGACCAAGACCCCTAAAGATGGTATTGTCACTGCAACCCCTTCCTTTTGCCTTCCTATGGGTCCTGTCCTCAAACAGCAACTGACATCTTGCAACCATAGGAAAATATACCAAGGGCCAAAAGGCAACAAACACCCAGAGCCCAGCAAAGAGCAAGGACTGAAGGAGCCGTGGACTCCCAGTTCTAGACTTCCGAAGTGAGACAATGTAAAACCCCATTGTTTAAATGACATTTATCTGATTGTTCTGTACTGTGGGTGAGGTAGATGCTCTGCCAAACACTTGATATGCATCACCTCACTTTATTCTGAAAAAATCCTGTAGGAGACGCCTTGACCTGTTTCAATGGAAAAGAAAATTAGGTCTCAAGGGGTCTAGTTCTCTCCCAACGTCATACTCAATGGCAAGCTCAAGGTTTAAAACTACAACCGCCTGAGACCGAACAGTCTATAATTTAACTATATTTTAACTCAATAATCTGCTTTTCTTATTGTTTTTCAATATGAAAAGGAAAGTATGTTCAAGCAACTATTTCAACATAATTGAGACTTACTTCAAAAAAGATGGCATATGAGAGTAACGTAAGTGAAAGGTCTCAGGGTATGCCTAACAAATCAGCACTTGATATAATGAAGAGTTTGTTGATTTTACACCCTATAATCTGGGCAGGTAACATAATCCCCCAAGAGAGTCGATCTCACCTCAACTCTAGGACTATGCATTTCTAAAGTTCAACAGGACAGTTTTATAGAGGGCACTCAGTAAATATCCATGTATGAACAAGTAACTGAATGAATGCTGACAACTGGAATAAGTGAGGAAGGAGACACATGAGGATCAGGTCAAAGTAGTTGTTTTCCACAGGAGGCTCAAGTAGCAAGTAGTATGTCAAGTGCTTCCTGAAGGAGGGAAAAAAAGAGGGAGAGAGGGAGGGAAGAAAGAAGGAACATAAGAGAACCTCCTGCCATAATTTAATTGTAGCCACATCTAAAGATTGTAGTGCTGGTCTAGTTTCCTCACATTACTCTCATGGATTTTTAGGGTCCCCTCGATCACATAGATGAGGACACATCTTGTTCTTCACTCTTGCAGTGTCTGCCAGTGGTTCTCCTTATCTTGGCTTCTGATCCCTCTGATCCTTTATGGCTGGAAACTTGACCCCTGTATCTGAGCCTCCTTCATGCCATCTGGCTCTATGAAACTTTCCACACATGGCAGTTATTTGGTCATTGACCTACCTGCTAAGGCATATATTCATTTTCCAAGTCTTGAATTTCTGTCCTGACATTAGTATGTACTACTACTGCCCTCTTCATCATTCTCCTTGGATTACTCTCTCCTGACAGTTTCTTCTGGACCTGAACCCAAAATATTTTACGGCGTTTTATCTCATTCCCATTTGCTATGTCTGAATATTGTGTCCTCCCAAATTCACCTGTTGGAACCCTAATGCCCAATGAGATAATGTTAGAAGGCGGAGCTTGGGGAGATTGTTAGGTCATGAGGCTGGAGCCGTTGTAAATGAGGTTAGTGCCCTTATAACAAGAGATCCCACAGGCTCCCTAGTCTCTTCCATCATGTGAGGAGAGAATGAGAAATATGCAACCTAGGAGAGGACCCTCACCAACCATGCTGGCACTGATCTTGGACTTACTGCCTCCAAAATTGTGAGCAGTTAATTTCTACTTATACGCCACACAGTTTGTGATATTTTTTATAGCAGCCTGAACATACTAAGACATCATCTATTCCATTCAAGGCACTACTTAAACATTAATTAAAGTACACTAATGCAGTGGTTCCCAGAGTGCTGGTCCGTGGACCAGCAGAATAAACATCACTTGAAAACTGGTTAGGAATGCACATTCTTAGGCTTTCCCTCAGACCTGCTGAATCAAACTCTCGGAATAGGTCTCAGAAATTCATATGTATTCTAACAAGCCCTCCAGTGTGTATCATGATTGCTAAAAACTTTGAGAACTGCATAAATTATACAATTGGATACTTACCTTGAAAGAAATATCATTTTTGTTTAAGTACAGAAACTATGAGAAACACTTTCATTAAATCATTGCAATGGGCAGATAATAGACTGAGTTATTTGAAAGAAAAGTCTGAGACAAAAATTAAAATGCAGATAGTTTTTTTTAGGAAATAATAGCAGGAAGAAAGGGTGAAGGAGTATCAGGGTCACTCTTATCAGAAGCAGAAATTCAGTTTTGCCAGGGCTTCTCAGATAGCTACAGAAAAAAAAATTTCATCCAAAGTGTGGGAGTGTGGAACAACATTTACCCTCTGATTCCAGTTCCCCTTTATTTGAGGGTTTCCCAAGGATGAGCAACACCCTTGTACTATGAGTTACATACACCTGCATGGAACTGAAGAAAACAGCTTTGTCTGGAGAAAACCCTGCAGCAGAATGGAAGGATTCATGGCAGACCCTTGAGGCAGAATGCTCCCTATGCACAGATCTGCCCACCATGGCTTATATTCATCTTCCACATGGGCTGGGAGGATGGAACATGAAGTACCAAATACTTGTCTTACAGTTCCTGTCACAAAATTACACTGAAGTGCTTTTAGGGTTTCAAAATGACAGACCTTAATCCTGGGAGAGAAAAGATTGCTAAATTGCTTTCCTTGTTTGTTTTTAACTCACAGTAATTTATTTTTACTTTAGTTATACTTGAAGTGACTGATGATAGGTACACGTTAAGAACAATTATTATTTCCTGCTTGAGTCATGTGTCATAACTGGCCACAGTTACCTGGCATATGTTTCACCAACTTCGACAACCAGGCAGACTTAGATGGGAGTCAGGTCTGAAAACATAGCTTAGATAATTCTGGATAGTTACAAAACATGATTAATAAGTCTGCTAATTAAAGGATTTTTTCCCACTGCTTCAAAAATTCAGTTTATTCCCAAACAGAATAGAGACTTTAGGCACTTTAGATCAAAGGAATCATTTCATAGTCTCCCTTTATTTAAAATTTTCCCATTAAAAGGAAGATTGATATTTCTGGCTCTTCCTTTCCTTTCTCAATGAGGAGGGTTATAGTATATTGCATTCAAAGTAGACATATCTCTATGATTTAAATAATAGAATTTACTGACACAGCAATCATGTCCAATCATGTAATCCATAAATTCAGCTCTCTTGCCTCTTTATCTCTAAACTCTGCACACTAAATGCCGGAGCCTGCTGGTTGTCCCCCAGTGTTACTTTTCCCCCTCCTCCAAAAGAAACCCAATTTTTAGCCAGGCATTTGACAGATCAGAATAAAGCCTACTTATCCCAGCCTCCCTTGCAATCAGGCCCTCCTAGTTACAATCACATGACTAAATATGATCAATGAGATGTCAGTGAAAAGATCATGTGACAGCTTTTGGCAGTGTTTCTTAAAATTGAGCCTGAACGTGCACTTTGCCCTTGTTTCTTCATCCCTTCCTCCTTCCTGCTAACTTATATAGCTGTGAAGATTTAGTAATCATTTGATGCTTTAGATATTCTGGAGCAGGGGTTAGCAAACTACAGCCCCTGGGACAAATTTGGCCAGCTGCCTGATTCTATATAGCTGACAGGCAAAGAATGGATTTTACATTTTTAGATACAGAAAACCAAAAGAATAGTATTTCATGACAAATGAAAATCATTTGAAATTCAAATGTTAGTGTTCCTAGAAACAATGCATTAGAACACAGCCACATTCATTAGCTTACTTACTGTCTATGGCTGCTTTACAGTGCATTACAATGGCAGAGTTGAATACTTGCAACCGAGATCATATGGCCCTGAATATTTAGTATCTGGACCTTAACAGAAAAAAGTTGTAGACTTCTAACCTTGGCAATAGAGGCCTAGCTAGGCAGAATAATAAGTACAAAAAAATGTCAGGAGCAGAAGCTGGGGTCCTTCAGGACTTTATTTAGTGAAGCTGCCATGTAAACCTGAACCGAGTACCTCCAGACCTTCCTGTGAGAGTAAAATAAACTCCTGCTGTTTTTAGCCAGTTACATAATGTAATAAACTGAATATTGGGCCCAATTCCTCACCCCTCCCTGAATCCCACCTGCCATGTGTCTTTACAGTTCCTTACACAAGAGGCAGAGTATATTTCCTCAATCTTGACCTTTGGCCTTGGCCAACTGGATGTTAGCAGCCCATACTACAAGCAGAGGCTTGCAATGTATTTGTTCAGTTTAGCTTTTCCCATTGTGCTACTGCCATTATCATGAGAAGAAATTGGCCTAGTAGCCCACAGGTTCCTGAAGAATGAGAAAAAGATTGATCGGAAGCTCACCTTCAAATCTGTAGTTGAAGCAGTACTCCAGCTGCCCATCAGTTTTAGTTGAAACAACCCCAACTGACCTGTGAATATGATAAGAAATGCTGCATTTAACTGAGTTTTATTTATTTCTTTTTAGAGGGGAATGGAGGGAGAAAGAGAGGAAGAGAAACATCAATATGTAGTTGCTTCTCATGTGCCCCCTACTAGGAACTTGGCCCACAACCTAGGCATGTGCCCTGACTGGGAATCAAACTGGCAACCCTTTGGTTCTCAGACCTATGCTCAATTCACTGAGCTACACCAGCCAGGGCACAACTGAGTTTTGAGTGGTTTATTCTGCAGCAACAATTGACTAATAGAGGTGGTAATTTTAGCCTGTTTCTTACAGTCAAAGTTAAATCTATGTTGTTTTTTTTCTGGCAATTATCCCAAACTGAGAAGAGAGGCAATTCCATACTTTCAGAAGAGGTATCACACTATGGAATAGCAGACTTAAATAATAATAACAACACAGAACTTCAGCTCTATCATATAACATTTGTGTAATCATAGACGTTTTTTAACCCCTCTGAGCCTAAGTTCTTCATCTGAAATATGACAAGTATTCTATCTACATTCTGTTGTTCTCTCAAAATTTAATAACATAGACAAAACACTCGCTAGATAATACAATTATAAATATTAACATTTAATGAGGGTTTCTCATGTGCCTGCCACTGGGCCCAAACAATGTTTCTCACCTGAGAAACATTCTGTTTTAATCCCCACATTGCATATGAGGAAACCAAGGCTTAGCGGGTTTACGTAACTCATCCACATATACCTAGTTAGAAGATGGCAGAGCTGGGGCTCAACCCCTGGGAGTCTCACTCGAGGATTTACGATCTTACCTTCCAGCATTTACTTTCTTCATCCTCTTTCCTTTCTTATATTCCTTATATTCCTGGTAGTCTCATTAATACTTACTTTCAGGACAAAGTCATGTATCCAATAAGCTAAATGCACCAACTAAATGTTTACACTGAAAGCAGAGTCAATTACCACATGTTTATTGTAAGAGCAGCCAAGGCAGCACTCAGGTACACCCTCGAACTTGTGGCATCCTGGTGAGTGTTTAACAACTAACTCACCTTCCCACCCTGAACCTTTTGTAGCAGTTGTAGATTTCCAGGATGCAATTGTCACCAGGGCTGATTTCAAACTACCAACTGAGGAAACACTGATCACAGCTTGGGAAGAAATGTGCATGATGGGCTGTCAGGAGTCTTTATGCCATACCACTGCCCCCACAACAACCACATGAAAGAAGAGTCAAAAGAAAAATTGTAAGCAACTCAATTTGCCTTCAGATGATAGAGGCAGGAAGAAGTCTGAGTGGTTAAAAATTTGCACGTACAAATGGCTTCAAGGCCCAGACTATTAATATTACTGTAATGCAGGGCAAAAATGTTAAGAGAGTAAAAATGGTGGGGCCAGTGATGAGCTAAACAGACAGTGTAGACTACTGCAAAAAAGTATTCAAAGTCAGGTTTGTTTAAAATATGAGCTGACTCTACACATTCGCGCACACACACAAATAAATCGAAATACTGGAATAAGGTGTGAGACACCTGTTTTCAAGTTCTGTTCTATGACTCAAAAATTAGCAATAGGCTCTGTGTTTGAGGACTGTGTGCAAATTAATTACCCAGGAATCTCCAAAATAAATTTTGCACATGTAGCCTTTATCATGTTCCTATGAAACAGTATTATCTTCACTGTAACAAAACAAACACTAAGTGACAAAATTCTATTGATGTCTTCATTGCCTGTTATCCTTGATTAACCCAGTCTAGCAGGCCAAATGTCTGCTTTGAATTTCCAGCTGTATTTCTTCGTAGATTCTATACGCCTCATGAACACAAAGGTGCCCTGCTTGAAAATGTTAATCTCCAAAGCAGCATTAGTTACTAAGCTACCAACTCTATTTCCATGGTTTTAAAAAAATACCTCAGACAGAGATTTGGAATGAAGATACCCAAAATCTGGTACCAATCAAGAAATCACTCCCTAAAAATCTTGTTAGCTCCATTAAGTGTTTCCATCTAAAAATGAGTCTTACTTTAGAACAATTCCAAATCCTCTGAATTAATTTTCCATTTTCCTTTTCACTGTTCCAGCACTTCTTTTCATATATGCCTCTGTTTTTTCCAGCCTGGCAGATGTTTTAAAACTTTAATGAGTAAATTCAAGTTCTTATATTAATTCACAAGGATAGGATTATACTCATCTATTTTGGCCAGCGAATTACCAGTTTAAATTAAATCACCAAGCAACCAAAGTCCATATTATTGTAAAAATAACCAAAATACATCATGTATCAATAACCAAAATACATGTTTAGACTGTCTAAACATTTCATAATTTTTTTTGAAATTTGCTGTTGCCAGTCTTTATAATCTACATAAACACATGGGGTTATGCCAAGGAATACAACCTTGAATGGTTAGCCATTCGAGTCTCATCAAAGCCCACCTGAAGGAAAGTGGTTGTTGTGGCATATGGTTTGAAGCACATGCAGGCACCCATTCCTATAGAACAAGGACTTCCACCTTGTGTTCTAGAATTCTACAGCCGGGTTTTCAGAACAAGGCCAAGCCAAGGTGGCAGATTCAGAGACTCATACTACCACATAAATCAAGGGAGTTCGGCTTTATTTATTGGGGTTCGGCCAAAGATTTCATTTGAAAAGGAAGGTTTCTGATACTTAAAAAATCTGAAAACTATAATAATGCTATATTTTATACTTAATCCTGAGCATAAGAAACCTTTGGGATTACACTATACCATATTGATTCCAGGAGAATAATGATCTTGACTATTGTTGTTTAGAAACACACTAAAAAACTCTACTATAAAACCTTTACTATGATTGCTTAGTAGTTACTGAGGTCTCTGCACAATGTGTACCTGATGCCCCCATACATAGCAATACTTGAAAAAAAATTTAGAGTTAAGTTGGATAAGCAAAGCCTTAACTATGATATTGAAGAAAGTATATCTAATCATATATGCCTTTTTACTTCTACTTTGTAGAAACTTGAAACGAAATCAATGACATAGAAATAATCAGTTTATGTACACTACATTCTGACTTAAATTTTTATTTCCATTTTCGTTTTCAAATATTAAGTTATATTTTCACCAGACTAACATGTTTTATTTTTTTTTACTATTTTATCATATGTTGTATTATTTCAAATATAAGCTTGATTATATGAAGGTCTATCTGGAAAGAGTCCAGCCGTTGTTAATATAAGGAGAATGGTTTGGGAGACATCATATAGCCTGGCTGCTGAGGAAAGTGAACCGGTATGCACATGTGTGAACAAGGATGACTTCACTGTACTAGTCAGCAGGGATGGTAGACAGCTTTAAGTAAGCATATGTACTGTGTAGCTGGCACATTCAAAATGAGCAAATAGAGCAATGAATCAGCATCAGATTTTGCATTAAGCTTGAACATTCCTCCATGGAAACTATTTGGGTGAATCAGAAGGCTGCAGCTATTGGCAACTGGTGATTGGCAGCTTCATCACAGCAATGCACACACTCATGCATCATATCTCATGCAGAGTGTTTTGGTGAAACATCAAATCACCCAGGTGACTCAGTGCCCCTACAACCCACATTTGGTGCCCTGCCACTTCTGGCTATTCCCAAAACTAAAATCATCTTTGAAAGGGAAGAGATATCAGACCATCAATGCAATTCAGGAAAATACAACAGGGCAGTTGATGGAGATTGGGGAACTACTTGAGGTCTCAATGTCCCTACTTGGAAGGGGACTGAGCTGAGGCACAACTGTCCTATATACAATGTTTCTTATATCTAGTATCCTCCTCAATAAATGTCTCAAGACTTCCGACCAAGAGGGAAGCATAGGTAGATACACCTTATCTCCTCACACAACCATAAGAAGGATCACAACTAACCCCAAAAGAAAAAAACAACAAGAACTGCCAGAAAATTGAACTGTATGGAAGTCCAACATCTAAAAATTTAAAGAAGAAATATTCATCCAGACATATAGGAGAAGTGAAGATGGGGAGCCAGGGCAGGGAGAACCTGGTGTGGCAGCAACAAAGCAGCAGCAGAAGTGGCAGCAGTGGTAGCCGGAGGAACAGACAGTCCCATATTCACATGTGGCAGATAAAAACCAGGAGAGACACCTGGGGAGTAAGCAATCCCACCCCCAGGCCAGACCACACAGCCCAGGGTTCCAGTGCTAGAAAATAAAGCCTCATAACTTCTGGTTGTAAAAATCAGTGGGGGCTGGGATGGTGGAAGAAACTGCCAATCTCTCAGGACAGTCCATTTAAAGGGCCCCCATAGTCCTAGAACATATGCAAACCTACCCACTCTGGGAACCACCACCAGTGCAACAGCTAGAGTTGCATACAGGAACTAGGTGAAGTGACTGGAAACAGGGAACTGCCAAACAAGCAGCACTATTCCCTCTCTGACCCCTCCCCCACATTTAGCACTGCGAAGTGGTGAAGCAAGTTGCCCTGCCCTGGCAAATACCTAAGTCTCTGTCCCTTATAAGTAACAGGTGCACCAAGACAGGGAATCAAAGTAGCTGTACCTAAAACACAGAAACAAACACAGGGAGGCTGTCAAATTGGGGAGACAAAGAAATATGACCAAATGAAAGAATAGATCAAAACTCCAGAAAAATAATGAAGCAAAACAGAGATAGCCAACCTCTCAGATGCAGAGTTTAAAACACTGGTGATAAGGGTGCTCACAAAACTCAATGAGTATAGCAAATGCATAAGAGAAAATGAAGTCTGCATGTGAAATAAAGAAAAATCCACAGGGAACCAACAGTGAAGGGAAGGAAGCTGGGATTCAAATCAGTAATTTGGAATATGAAGAAGAGATAAATACTTAACCAGAACACAGAATGAAGAAACAAGAACTAAAAAAAATGAGGAGAGTATAAGAAGACTCTGGGATGTCTCCAAAAGTGCCAACTTTTTAATCATAGGGATGCCAGGAGGAGAAGAGAAAGGGCAAGAAATTGGGAATCTATTTG